GGGGGGGGGGGGGGATCCAGACAGAACATGAGAGAGAGAACAAGAAAACTTTTCTGCCCTCTAGAAATAAAGCACACTTAGTGGAACTGAAGTATTTAAAGGTTAGAACATTTTAATGTTAACAGAAAGTGACATGCTATGCAGTTATAAGAAATATGAACATTTTAAAATAAGTGTTCAAATTTCATTCATTTAAAACCCTCCAGATTTTAAATAAGAATTCTAATACTCACTTGTGCATATTTTCCACTCCTATTATGACCATGATAAAGTAAGAAATTCCACTTTGTATAACAAAATGTAAGGCATACCTGGGGAGAGGGGGGTGGAAAAAAAAAAAAAGTATAAATAGTCACTTCCAGGCATTCATTTTCCATTAGCAAGAATCCAGTACTGGTATATATTTTTTATCTAAAATAAAAGGTGGGCTTTTGTATGTACTTAAAGGTTACATCTAAAATTCCTTTTTTGGTTAAATAAATGAAAAGAATAATTGAATGTTTGCCCTTCATAATACCTGGGCATTTGACCAATCAAAAATAATTGACTAGCCAAATAATGTCAAAACTAGTCTAAGTATTTTTAAGTATTAATCTATTAGAACAGTAAGAAAACAAAAGGCTACAAAACCTCCAACCACTTAGATACTTTACTGAATTATGTTCCAAACTCAAAATGAAACATAATTAACTGAAATTTTAAAATTATATTATTATAATGCATATTTTATAATAGTATAACATATGATAAGTGATTTACTTATACTTAGCAGCATAAATTAGTATTTATATTTGAATGTTACTGAATATTAAAGAGATACAACAAAATTAAATTTTAAAAAAATTAAATGCAGGTAGACAATAGGTCAATTCATCAAATTATTTCTCTTTGCAATGCCCTCTTTATAACCAATGCTTTATTTATGTCATTGTCATTAACAAATTCATCAGTACATCTGTCGGCTTCATCATCTTGCATAATCAACTCTTCATCTGACATTTTCTTCTTCAGTCCAGAAACAAATACTTAACAATCACGAACTCTACAAAATGGTAGAGGTCTTCAATCTATTTCTGGTTTTTGAATAAAGGACTCAAATGAACCAATTCAGTTAAAGCAATAAGGAAAGAAGCAATCCCTGGATTATTCTACTATGTTATTTTCTGTTCAGCTTTTGTAAGTGAACTTTGTTCAGTATTCTCAAATGTTTCTAAATGCCTGCAAACTCATTTCTGGCCTCAGACACAATGTAGAGCTATTATATTCCAGAAAAGGACTAAAGCTACAGGTCGAAAGCTGCAAAATCAATTTTGAGATTTTTACATCCAAAAATGCATCACGAGTGGCAATACAGTTTACCTAGGACTATACAATACCCAGTTACCCCTCCTTCAACAGCAAGTGATTGAAGTGAGCTGTTGCATGCCCATCAAAATGTCTCCAAAAGTTCTGTACTTTGTGATGGTGCTACCAAGGCTGGAGCACATGGAAAATGCAAAGAAGGAAACGAGTTTTGAACCAGAACAGTTTCCCTTTTTTGCTATTTATTTTTGATAAACTCTTTCAGTACCTAGCAGTAGAATTCAAAGAAGCATTTCACCACTGTATCTTACATGTGTCATACTCTGAAGTATTTAGTTTTAACAGCTGTTCCCTGTCC